GGGGGCGGCAGGTCACTTGGCCAGCTCCTCTGCCACCGCTTTCCGTATCTTGTCCTTGAGATAGGCACTTTTCTGCCACTCAGACTTGAGCTCCAGCCACTCGTAGTACGGGACCTGGGGGAGAGGGTCAGCGTGGGTAGGGACCCTGGTTCTGCTGCTTCAAACACCACAGCCGTGGTCTCCAAATCCTGGAGGTGCAGGATAGGTGGACCCAGTGCCAGGCTCATCAGGGCTCAGACCACATGGGGCTGAAAGTGGCTTTTAATTTTTAAGAGTTGTGTTAAAGAACCACCACCAACAAAGGATCTGTGGCAGGACCCTCGTGGGGCCCACAAGCCCCGCGTGTTCACTGGCCCTACACAGGATGTCTCTCTGGAAAGAGCAGGAAGAGGTGGCTAGTGTCTCCCAGGGACAGGTGCTGTGCAGGCACACCTGGTGGGAACCAGGCACCCGCGACCCCCCCCCCGCCTCAGAGGCCCTGGCTGTGCAGGTGGGAGCAGTACCTGAGTCCTGCTGACACTCCCCTTCTGTCACCACCTGCCCAAAAGGTACTCACATCCACTACTAGGAAGCCAGCAGCCAGCACATGGCGCCGGGCCAGCACGAAACGCCCCAGTAGGTCTTTGCTCCGGCTGTTGAAGTTGGGGAACTCCCAGCGCAGGAAGGCCAGCCTGTGAGGAGAAGAGGTGCTGGGTCCTGACCGTCCTCAGAAAGAAGGGTGACACCAGCAAGAGCTGAGGGACCCAGGAGCCACGTGCCCTACCTCTTAGCCCTGGGGGGCAGGGGCTGGCCCTCAGAAGGCGGGGCAAGGTGTGGGGCCACAAAGTCTCTCAGGGGCAGGAACTGGCCTTCGGCATCCAGTAGCACCTCAGCATCTGTGGGTGGCAACAGATGGAAACATTGGGGACGTCCCCAGAGTGGAGCTGCAGCTCCAGGCCCTCTGGCGAGCCCCTGGTGAGGAGGCGGCAGGGCCAGCCCTAGACCAGGTTGGACGAAGTGGGGAGGCTCACCCAGGACCCAGCCATGACGCGTGGCCACCGTGAGGCGGGCCCTGTCGGCGCTGCCCAGCACCCCCTTCAGGGTCTCCTGCAGCTCCTTCTGCAGGGGCGTCGCCTTCCTGTCAAGGGCCAAGGGCTTGGGCACCAAGGCTGAGGCCGGCAACAGGGGGCCTGTGTACTCAGGATGCTCCAGCTGGGCAGTGGCATTGATGTGAAGCAGTTTCTGAAAGGTGCTCTGACCCTTCGGGGACTCATCACCTGAGGGAAGGGGTGCAATGAGGGGGGGGGCCGAGGGACAAGAGCAGAGAAAGAGAAACTGCAGGCTCCCAATCCCCACCCCCCCCATCTGGCTGTAGGCAGATAGGACAAACAGAGGCCCACAGGCTCACCTCTGTGCAGGAGGAACACCCCACTGCTCACCTAGGAACTGGGTGTGGAACTCGGGGCGCAGCACAGCACGGAGCTCGGCTTCCCTGGCCTGCTGCAGCACACACAGGGCCCACAGCACGTCCACCTGCAGGGCGGGGTCCAGGCCTGCCAGCTGACACCTCAGCTTCTCATGCACCTGGAGGACAAGGTGGGGTGCAGAGGGAGGGCTCTGCTCAGTAAACACAGATGTCCCTGGTGGTGGGTGGGCTGCCCCTGGGGCTGCCTCACAACCTGGCCATTCTGAGGCCGAGGTGGCTATGGATCAACCCCGGCCAAGGCCCTCTGGTCAGGCTGAGTCCCCCTGGGGAAGGTACTGGAAACCATTCACATCCCCTAGGACCAATGTGGACAGAAGGACATCCAACTGGGCTTTCCCACTGCTCCCCCTGCCCCCCCAAGCAGAAGCTGCTGCACAAAACTACACCTCCAGTAATGTCCCAAGTGGCCCAGAACCGGGGAGGCATTTCTGGCCCTGAGAGGAATGGGAGAGCATGAGGGGAAATAGTTGGCCAGCTGGGGTGGTTGAGTCTGAGCCTCAGTGGACCATCAAGGTGGTGACAGGGAGTGAGACCAAGCATGCCTTCTAGACCCGAGGCTGCTCTGGGCCGCACAGCTGGTAGGCTGGGATTTCAAGTTTTGCCCCCAGACAACCGCAGGGATGTCTGGCTCCAGCAGGCTCGCTCCGCCCAGTGTCCCCTGCCAGGCCTCCCTCCTTTCTGCCTCTGCACACAGGGGTCCCCAGCACAAATCCTGCCTGCAGGGAGAGCGCAGGGGAAGGGAACTGGGGGTGAAGACTGTACCAGGCTGAAGAACGAATCCTCTTGCTCTGGATGGAAGTTCAGGCGGGCGAAGGCCAGGAGCACATTGCAGAGGTCGGGCATGGCGATGCTCTCAGCTCTATTCAAGACATGCTGCACAGCAGAAGGCGGGGGGCAGGAGGAGGGACCCTCAGAAACCACGCCACCATAGCTTTAGAAATACTCCTTTAACCAGTAGAGGCTATTCTGACCAACTGCCCACAAACTAAGCATAGGCACTGTCTGTCTCTCTGCTCCGTTTTGGGCAGCCAAGGGGTTCTCAGCCTCCCACCTGCATGACTCCCAGGACAGCCACCAAAGGCCGGTGGAACCGGGAGAAAATTGTCCTCAATTCCTTCTCTCTCCCGAGACAGTGTCTCTCAGATACGCCAGAGCAGTAACTCGACGGTGCATTGGGCATGTCTCCAGCCCTGAGCCTCCCTGATGTACCCGTTTGCCCAGGACTCAGTGCACTCACCTGGGCAAAAGCCTCAAACAGGGGCAGGTTGAGCCACTTGAGGAAGGCGAAAGACTTGGTGCAGCGGGCCACCTCGCCGGACGTGAGGCTGGGTGTGTGGGGCAGCAGGTCAGAGGCCAGGCGCTGGAACACCTGGGTCTGGTGGAAGCCGAGTTTGCCTTCGGGACAGAGCAGACCCTGGGGTTCACCTGGTGGCCCACCCAGCACCCCACCATGGCCTCCAAGTCCAAGAGCTTGGTGTCTGTAACCAAATTTATCCCTGAGGCCCAGCAGAGGGGGACCAGGGCCCATGAGTCACAGTGTTTCTATAGCAGCCTCGGGGCCAGTGCCCACCATGGGTAGGACAGGCACTGAATTTGACATGGCTGCATCTAAAGTGCCCTCCCCCCTCGGCCCCCATGCAAGGGGCTCACCATAGGCATAGGCCAGGTCCAGGAGGACACCTTTGGTCAGGGGGAAGGGCTTCTGGACCAGGTGGTAGGAGATGGCCCGCAGCAGGGGCACCGACCGCCGGTTCTGAGCTGCCAGCACCACCAGCACCTTCCGCAGCTCATCAGGGCCAAACTGCTCCACCAGCTCCAGGCACTGTCAACCACAGCCGGCAGGGGTCAGCTCGATGGCCCGAGGGCCAGGGGTCCCATGCAGTGCAGTCCCTGTGAGACAGCAACTGGGCCTGAGCTTACTAAAGACTGGCCCCTCTGTGCAGGGCCAGGGGCACCATGTCCGCAGCCAAACTTATCCCCAGGTCCCAGGGCAGGGGACCCAGGGCCCATGAACCACGGAGCTTACTGTGGCAGCCATCTGGCCAGCTCCCGCTACAATGGGAACGGGTCTGAATTTGACTTGGCTGCGGGCTGGGGCCAGGGGCACCACAGTTCTAAGAAGTGCTGGTTAGAAGCTGAGCCTTGAGGCTGGCCCCAGCCACATGGGGGGGGAAGACCACGTGCATGAGACTGTTGGGAGGTAGATAAAAGAGCAGAGGATTAGGCTCCTCACCACCCCCAGGTCTCTGGAGAAGCCAGCCAGGAATCCGCGCACTAACATGGTCGCGCGTGAGCAGGCCCCTGGCCCTGCCCCACGCTCCCCCTTCTCTCAGCCCCAGTACCTTGTCCTCCAGGTGGTTCATCAGAGACTCCGAGAGGTGCCCAGTCTTCGTCATGATGGCCACCAGAGTGCGGCCATCCTCGATTTCCACCCAGCGCCGCTCCAGGCTCACAAGCAGCTCAGCCAGCAGCTCCTGGGAGCCCTGCCCCTGCATGTAGGTGGCGCTGGACTCAGCCAGGAAGGCCAGGTGCTTGTACTTGAGCCTGCGCATGCGCCAGCGCACCTCCTGCTCCACAGACCGCAGCTCCTTGGAGGCTTGGGAGAGCCCCAGCGCATAGAGGCTCCGGAGCAGCTTCACGAGGGTCCCGTGCCAGACCCCAGTTATCTGGATGGGGGACACAGGCAAAGTCACACAGGGACCCCAGGGCTGGGTCTGCCTTGGCCAGGCCTGTGTGCTGAGCCGCCTGTCCAGCTCCTGTCACCTGCAGCAAGGACTCTCAGAGATAAAATTCCCCTGGAGTCTCCCTAACACACACCTGACTGCTCTGCTCAGCTCTGCCGACCGTGCACACCCGCCTTCTGCTGCCTCACCCACAGGCCTATCCAGAGGGAAGCCTGCGGGGTGCCACTCAGGGCCCAGACAGACTGGTGAGCTTTTACAGTCCAGTTTTATAACTGGTTGTTTTGCTGACAACAACGAAAATTTTTAGCTATTAAGAACACAGACTTTTCTTCAGGAAAATAACTATAATGCTGAGTCTGAGAAGCCCCAACCCCTCGACTTCTTACCTCCAACAAAGCAGCCTGTGGCTGGCCCTGTGTCTGAAGCTGCACAAGGAGGCCCTTTGCCCTTAGACATGTTGGTGCCACTGAGTCCTGCCACCCCACACTCCCAGGCTTTGGGGGAGGAGCAGCTGCCATACCACCAGCTCTTACAACACGCAGGAATTCCTGTGTGCACCTGCATGTGTCAGGGACCAGCATCCTGAAGGCCTCCCCACCCCATCACACATCGCTCCCCCTAGGTCTCTCTGAACGGCAGAACCAGAACCCGCACTAGGTGGTCTGAAACCAGCCTGGCCCGTGCACCCCCGCGCCTGCCTCCTCCTCGGTCTCCTGCATGGTTTCTGAATGAGGGTGGCTCCGCTGTGCTCTGCAGGATGTGTTTCTAGCCTCAGAGAATGTGAGCTGCCCGAGCAGCCCTGTGGCCGACCCCAACCTCATGGGAGGCAGGTATGGCTCTGTGCTGTCTCACTGCTGGTGGCACAGAGCTCCCGGTCCCTGGCCTTTGTCTCTCTGTGGGAACTGGACTGGAAACCTCCTGGTGTGGGTCAGAGCCCAACCAACGGAGCCACACATCTGGGCCACCAAGGCAATTTTTAGGAGCTGCCCCCACCTCCATCCTCGTGTTTTCTTTCAAATGTGTTTTTATCAGTTTCAGAGAGGGGGGAGGGAGAGAGNGGCAGGGTGGCACTGGAGCTGGCTAACTTCTTGCCCCTTCACACTGTTCACTGGCCCCTGCTGTGTATATGACAAGTGTTCCCACTAATTCTCTGGGAAGTGTTGGTGTCTTTATGAAACCCTGTCTTCAGAAAATATGTGAGAACTGACTGTGCAGGACAATCCGCCATGGAGATACAAAAATGTACAAATCCGAGTCCCCCTGGAGGGCACTACCACTGTGAGACAAAGCCACTACAGTCGGAGCTCAAGGTCTGGGCAGGGGCACCGTTTCCTGTTTGTCTAAGCCTATTGATAGTGACGCTATTGGCTAGAAACGCATGGGGACACTCACCTGGGCCCACCGGTACTCCGTGTGAGGAGCCCTCACAGACATTTCCCAGATAGAGCCAATGTTGTGGCTGGACTGGCCCTTGTGGTTCTTATTAAGATTGCACCATCTGTCAACAACCATCCATCCAAACAATCACCGTCAGGGAACTTAGAAAATACAAGGTTTATTACTCACAGGTCTTGGAGGGTACATTGCATGCCTGGGGCCACACAGCGAGAGGTCCTGGGTGGAGGGAGAGAGGAGGAGGGAGAGAGGGAAAGGGGGAGGGGGAGAGAGGAGGAGAGAGAGAGAGAGACAGAGAGGAAGAGAGGGAGAGAGAGGGAGGGAGAGGGAGAGAGGGAAACACCAATGGGACAGTCAAGGACCAGCTGCCTCCACCTGGGGATGAGCCCACAACCCAGGCCTGTGCCCTGACAGGAATCAAACCCTGACCTGCGGGACCCTAGGTCAGTGCTCAACGCTGAGCCCACAGGTCGGCTCTGCCCTCACCTTTTGAGAATGCGATTGGCTGGAGAAGGCCCACACCCTCCTCAAGTTTTTGGGCTTCCCCATCAGTCACCCCACATCTCCTCAAACTTTAAGAGTGTGCCACCATCACCACTGGGGTGTGGGGACACCGATGAACAGAGAAGAACCAGAACCAGGCTGGCTTCTCCCACTTCTCTTTACCATGAGTACGGCAACATTCACCTAACAGGGCTGCTGTGAGGATGAACAAAGAGAGAGCCTGTAACAGTACTTTGAAACCTATACACTGGCTGCTTTGGACTCCAGTGCCCCTGCCGTTTTCCACTTGCTGAATAGTCTAGAACCCACCTGACTGTTGACAAGATGGAGAAGTTGCTGAAAGCGGGCATCCTGTATAAGCAAGGCTTTGTCCTCTGGCTTTTCGGACAGCAGGCGAGAGAGCTTGATGAGTGCGAGGGCCGCATTGTTCTGGTGCAGGCAGTGGCCACCACCAAGCAGCTCCAGGAGCTCCTCGGGCTGGGTGGCCTTCTCGATGAGCGCATCCACCTCCTGGCGCTCTGGGTAGGGAGTAAACACCTGTTCCTTCTCCACGTGCTGTGACAAGGAACCTGGGAAGTGGGAACTGGGTGAGGTAGCTGAGGAAGTCAGAGTCCTATGGGCCACCCTGGCCAGTCTCAGTCGGCCAACTGGAGACCCAGCAGGGGCCAGACGAGTGGCCTCTCTCAGTAGGCAAGCGCACCGCTTCACCAGGCGAGCTGCCATGACAGTCTGGGTGGCAGGGAGGTGACACTCCTAGCAAGTAATTCCAAGGCCCTGAAGAGAAAGAGAAGGAGTTGCTGCAGGGGCTCTTCCTGACTCACAAACACAAGAGACCGTGACAAATGAAACGGCGTCAAAGCCACTCTCTCCAGAGGTGTTTTTTTCCAGTACACAATGTAACCAATCATCAAAACTCAGGAGCATGCAGGTGGGTTGGGGTATTTTCAGTCCTGGGTATACTTCGAAAACACCTAGGACCAGCTCAACGAATCAGAGTCCTAGGCCCCGCTCACTCCTCTTGAATGGGAGTCTCTGCAAGCAGGGCTGGGGCAACTCCGTTTTTAAAAGTTGAATCCTCAGGATTAAGAATGAAAAGAGACAACGGGACAGAATATTTTCCATGAGACTGCTCCTGAAGTCCCTGGACAAAGACTCTGTATCCCCAGCTTCTGTGGGTACATTTTAATATGTATAGACACGGAGTGAGCTTCCCCAAATCAGCACCAACCTACTTAAAACACACACACTGACTCAGGAAATCACCCTTCACCTTCCCAAGCCCGGGTCAAAGTCTCCTTCTCCAAGTTGATACATATCCCAACAATGTTGCTTCGACCGGTTGTCAGTCTCGCTCGTCGGGGTCACTAAGTGACCTAGGAGAGGCACGTGACCGAGGCGTGATACAATGTTAACCGGGCCTCGCTCCTGCCAAAGCACGGAGCGTGTTTGATCTCTGATTTCCCGGAACTTGGATACGGCCGGCACATTTCATTTTTACAAACAGCCGGTTGCTGCAGCTGTAAGAGAGCTCAGTCTGACTCTCCGGAAACCGGCCCCGAGAGAGGGAATGCTGGCCGGCTGCAGGCCGACAGCCGGGTGGCCGGAGCCGGCGGCGGGGAAGCGCTGGGGACGCTCCCGATTGAGCAACCCCACGGGCAGGGAGAAACCGAGGCCCGGGAGCCCC